ATATTGCCCTGTGGCCCAGTCTCCGAAGGGAGGGGATCATGCTCTGCTTCAGTATGTCACTGTACATGTTGGCATTCATGGTTCCCTCAATGAGCTGTAGCTCCCCAGTGCCGGCAGCACTCATGCAGCCCCAGACCATGACACTCCCACCACCATGCTTGACTGTAGGTAAGACAAACTTGTCTTTGTACTCCTCACCTGGTTGCCGCCACACGCTTGTCACCATTTGAACCAAGTAAGTTTATCTTGGTCTCATCAGACCACAGGACATGGTTCCAGTAATCCATGTCCTTAGTCTGCTTGTCTTCAGCAAACTGCAAACTGTTGAGCAAACTGCTTTCTTGTGCATCATCTTTAGAAGAGCACCGAGCCCGAGCTCAGCCCAGTGCGCTCCTCTTTACTGGTGGTGACCTCTTTGAACTGCCAGAGGTCACTGCACCACTTCTGCCCGAAGACTTTGTCCAGGATGGGCACCCAGTCCTGAGCCACTGCAATGACAGTCTGCTTGTCTGGTTCTGTTGGGAAAAAAAAAAAAAAAAAGAAAACATCATAGAGATGGAAATGAAAAATAATGACTTATTTTTCAAGTTTAATTATCTCCATTCATTTAAAATAAGTAGGGTTACACACTTAAGGAAATTGGAAACCAAATGACCTTTATCTGCTGATTTCGCATTAAAATATCCAGAGATGTTTTGTTGCAGTTCACTTGTACACGACATAAAATTCGATTTTAAAAGTGATTTTTTGCATTTGAAAGCAATAACTAGTTAGAATGAAATTTAATTGTTATAATAACTGAAAAACATGACCATATTTCAGTACAAACACCTGGGTCTTATTCAATAATTACCTGCAATGCAGGCGCTATCAATCTGAAAAAAAGACGTTTATTGTGAGCCGAATCGTTGGCCTGGTCTGCTTTGTTTTTGCATAACAGTTTAAAAATAGAAGTCTGAATGAAACCCAAAGAACAGATGGAAAAACAATAAAGTACTTTTGTTTCTGGTCTGTCCGCCACTGAACAATAAACTGAGGCGTGCCAATATAATGCGTTAATAAAAGGGGAAATGAAATGTTCGTATAATATTACCTTTGAACATTGGGTATATTATATTGAATACTCAGCATTTTACATCAGCTTTTTAACATTAGCTCCACACCAGCCATATTTAAATGAACTCAAGAGTAATTTTTTAGCACAGACATGCCTTCTATGAAAAATCTGATTGCATCTTATTCTCAAAAGCCTGCTACAATTGATTTCTGCCCATGGAAAGTGGGCACTAAACAGAATTTTATTTAAAAGTAATGTTTGTGTACATTTTTATTGATCGTAGGAGCCAATCAAACGATGGACAACAGTTGCATTTCCAGCCTGATACCCAACGACAGATACAGGAACATTGAGAACTTCATTCAGAGACGTTTCAGGTTCCAGGTTCCAGGTAGAGGAATGATATAGTTACAGTTAAGTAAGCCATATCACGATAGTCTGAACCCTCCACAACTTAGTACTCAGAATCAGCCTGAAAGTTAGGGAACTGCATCAAACAAATAGGATTAGATAGGATTACAGTTACCTGATTTTCATAATTCGTTTAGTGAACCGATCCCTAAAGCAACACGGACAGCGCATGCAAATAAACAATGTTATCAGTGGGCACAATTCATTGGGAGTAAATTCTTTCCACAAAAAGAAGTGATTATATCCAACTTTACACTACCAGGGTCAGTAGGTTTTATTTAGTTATTTTTTTATTTAAGAAATTAATACTTTTATTCAGGAGGGATGCATTCAACTGATTAAGGGTGACACTAAAGATTTTATGTTACAAAAAAAATCTACTTCAAATAAAGAAAATGTAAAGGTTTTCACAAAAAATTAAGCAGCACAACTGTTTTCAGCATTGATAATATAATATTTATATGTAAAATAATAAACACTGAAGACTGGAGTAATAATGCTGAAAATTCAGCTTTGCATCACAGGAATAAATTACATTTTAAAATATTTTAAAATTAAAAATTGTAATTGTTTACATTTAATAATATTTTGTAATATTACTGTTTATAGGCTACTGTATTTTTGATCAAATAAATGTAGCCTGGGTGAGCATTCTTCAAAAGCATCTTACAGACCCCAAACCTTTGAACGGTAGTGTACATGCATTCTAATTATCAACTACTAGACAATAAAACAGTTTGTACCATTTGTGGTTTCAGTTTTTTCCCACTCTTTTTTGTGCGATTGGTCCTGCAGGCCTTTCGACTCTTGCTTTTCCGCTTTGGAACTGCTAGGAGAGGCAGAGTCGTTTTCGCGGTCCTCCGTTTCCACAGCAAGCACATCACTGTCCTCCACTATGTTCTTGTCCTGTAACTGCTCTTTTAATATCTGGTTTTCCTGCTCCTTCTTGGTGAACTCCGAGAGCAGGTCGTCAAAGCTGTCTTCCACGATTTTAGTCAGCTCACAAACAGCGAATTCCAGCACATGTTCCATAACAGATTTTAACTGACCTGAAAATGGAGACATTATGATATATTTACTCAGAAAAATCCATCTGTAAAGTTCTTGTGACACAAACAGGTAGTTATAGCCTGTAGGTTCTCTAATCACTCTCTGCACCATCTACACACTGCAGAGAAAGGCACAAAATAAAGCCGCTGGCTGACATTTATGAGAACACACCAATTTGCATCGCTCCCTACTTTCTGCAAGAAATTTTCAGATTTAAAGTCTCAATTATGCCATGTCAAGATCTGAATCAATCTAAGAAAAATGCCACTACGAATGCGTATCTGTTGATGCAGAAATGGAACTGATGGACTGTATAAAATTGAATGGTGTATTTTAAGCCTGACCTATAATAACATTTGCATACTACCATATTGTATGTACAAACTTATGATGGTCACATTAGGAAGCTTACACTGCAAAACCAAGTACATCGATTTTTACTAAAAACCCTGCAAAACTGATGCATTTATTAAGAACAAAAATTAATGTACAGATATAATAATTCTTTTTAGCATGTTCACAAACTGAGCAAATTGATCCTTTTTTAAATTTAAACCCAACGTAACACGAAACAGTCAAATTATCAACAGACTGTCAAAGCATTTCAGTTTGAGGTTTTAAAAGGTTTAGGCATCTCCAAAAATCTGTATTTTAGGACAGAAGAGGAATCGTTAGTAATCTCAACATAATTACCTAAGCACTTCTTATAGTGACAGGGTATACGTGGCTTGTATTCAAATCAGAAGTGCTGCAGGTCTGAATTTTGATTTGGACGCTTATCTTGGAACTTGTATGAAATGCACCTTCCTGCAGAAATACAGCCTTTAAAATGCACCGCATGTAGTCCTCTGCATTCCTCCGACTGTACACAGCCCATTTTTATCAGACAACTGAAAGACCACATCTAGAAGTGCCTAAATGCCTTAGCCTACTGTCGAAGCATAAAATACACAATGAACAATATTAACATCTAATTGTCAAAGATATTATATACTAACAGAAGTAAAAAGTGGTCAAGTTTTCCCACTAAAGTTATAATAAAATAAATATCTAGCAAATATACATATGTACACAAATATATAGATTTTAGAGGCAAATTTTGAGTTCCTAAAAATGGTGTAAAATCTTTCACTGGAGCAGATGCACCATAGAAAGTAAAAAAAAATTAATAAAAAAAAAACTAGTGATGTTGGAAAATGTCTGATATTGTAAATATTCGTTCTTCAATCTTAAACTATGTAATTTACAACCTGGCTCACTAATGAAAATGTGCAACACTTGCTAGGCAATATGAAATGCCATTCACTAGCCTACTGTCGAAGCATAAAATACACAATGAACAATATTAACATCTAATTGTCAAAGATATTATATACTAACAGAAGTAAAAAGTGGTCAAGTTTTCCCACTAAAGTTATAATAAAATAAATATCTAGCAAATATACATATGTACACAAATATATAGATTTTAGAGGCAAATTTTGAGTTCCTAAAAATGGTGTAAATTTTTTGCGCTTCTCATCAGTGAACAACGGCTCTGTGTAGTTAATGCTGCTCAATGTGAAAGCACGCAGTGACTTTATCCTTTCGCAATTGATTTGATATTTAAAGCAAATAAAATGTAAAAAAAAAATTTTTTTTTTCGCAATGTGTCTTTATATTTTGCCAGAAATATAGGGCTTTCTTTACAGTTTTCCTTTTCATAAATATTTTATTGCTACATATGTATATATAGCTATAATTTCACTCCATTAATTTTGAGAGAAAATGATAGCATACAATGCAGAACATTTTTTAACAATTGTTTTTACAGATAATATCACAAGTGTGCATTGCTGAAAGCCTCTCACAATGGCCCCAATGGGCCATCCTTACTGTTGAGCCTTAGTGCTGACTTTAAGAAAGCTGCAATTGAAAATAATATCGATTTACCTATTCAAATACAATTTTTGAAGCATATGTAACTTCCATGATGACTTAAATGAATCAAGATCAGATATTCTCATTCAATTTTAGTGGTGCATCTATTGCAAACGAATTAAATGGTGCATTTTTGAAAAAAAACTCTTTGTGTGCATGTTGACACGCCAAGCTATGACATCAAAGCGGATCATTGGGCTCCTTTGTGATTTGGCTGCAGTCTCTGCTTAGGATGAAGACTCTCATGATACTCCCCCCTGAAAACCCAACCATGGATACCCTCCGCAGAGTCTGGTAGGTGTGGCTTCTTCTAACCACCTCCATTGGCCAAAATGCAAGGCAAAGGCACACTCCCCATGGCTACCATCACCGCAGTATGGAAAGCAGCGCTAAGGAGCAGCTCAACGACAGAAGCGTCATCACCCAAACCAGCCATTGGCAGCAGTCACAACAAGTCAGCCATACTCCAAACATTAAAAGATCTATGCATACATGCCCACACAGGCCTGAAGACTGCTGACTAAGATTCATTTCAAAGACCAGACATCAAAAACTTCCTTCAATCATACAATTCCACTCAACAAAGAAAAAACATTCAGACTAAAACAATGCGTTGTTTCTCTACAGTCTCCCATGCACAATTATGTAGACTTACACACTTCCTCCAACTGAGTAAATGATTGGTTTTAAAAAAAAGTGAGATCTGTGGACCAGTTTATCTTAATTACTATCTGAACTGAAGAAAATAAATAAGTTAAGACTTATAAATCAAACATGTATTCTAGTAGTTGTGTTTTGCATGGTAGATGGTTTGTAGTTGGTTTAAGATGCTCATTACTTGGTGCTAAATGACCATCTTGGACCAGCAAGAAAACAGTTGGTCAAGACGGTTTTAGGAACTAGTCAACCAGCTAATGACCAACTTAGACCACCTAGAAACCATCTACCATGTTCAAAAAACAGAGTTACCATCTAAAGCTGGATTTTCCATCAGGGCTTGGTTTGGGTTTAACTACAGGGTCATTCCTGCCACGTTTCTAAAATACAAGGGCGTTTAACCAAAATAAGGGAATTGAAATCCATGGGTGCAAAAGCAGACCAAGTTTATTACGACTTCCTCCTTCCGTTCAAAATGGTGCATACCCTTGTTTTCATAAACCTCGCCACTGCGCACCAAGCCATCGAGTCACATTTGCATTGTAAACACGAGCGTTTCAATAACACGGATTATTGAACAAGATACCCAACACGTTTTCTTCATTTCCATTCAATGAAAACATGGTTTGCACTCAAATAGCCTTACCAACTGCTCGCGCTTTCTGGTCACGCCTGAGCGTTTCAGATTGAACGCCACATTCAGGGCTTTGACTGGGGGCGTGTTGCTTTGTTTCATCGTTCTTGTCTGTTTTTCTCTTAGACGCATTGCTATTCCCGTTCCCTCCACGAGACTGAAGGGTCGCCCTTAAACGCTGATTTTCTTGCTCTTTGGTGGCCGTTTCCAATAGCATTGAATTCAACGTGGCCCCAACAGTCTTGGTGATTTCCTGAACGGCGAGCTGCACTACCTGTTCCAGTGCGGACTCCAGCTGACCTTGGAAAAACGAAATGTAAAGGGCACCGTTCATGTTTACGACCGCTCCGTTGGAAGACCTCTTTCATTCTTCCTCTTCCCACCTACCAAAGTAGTGTTAAATATACAGAAGTCCCCCAGAACAACTGCCTAGAAACGAAGTTACCCCTTTCTCGCGAAACGCATCGTGGAGGTATACACCCCTCAGTATGCAATACCGTACTCCACTTCGTCAAGACGCATTAGGAAAGTCCAAGTAGTCCACAAGCGCATTAAGGATCTTCCCTCAGACGACCACTACGCCATTTTGCCCTAAATATGAAAACGGCTTGCGCACATAACCCAGAAATGAGCGGTAGGAAACACCTCAGATCAAAACGCGGCTTTGGCTTTCGATACAAGTAATTTAACCGAGCTGTTTGCGGGTTTTTGTATGCGACGTCGCAGGCGAGTAGCGCGCATAAATGAGCCGATTCATTTCAACTCTAAAGTAGATTATAGCCACTCAGTTATTGCCAGTTATATCCAGTTACGCACTACTTTTGTCTAGGGTATTATTTAGATTTTATTGCATAAGGACTGCCACTTGTAACAAAACGTTTATAGTGCGCTCTTCTAGTTTAATTACGGTAAAACCGCCGCTGCATTAATTAAGAGGAAGGCGGGGCGAGATTTACGCTAGATTACAGATGCAAAGGCATGTGTGGCACGATGAAATTTGGCTGCCAGGGTGTGTATATATCTATATGTGTGTGTGGCATCTTTTATTTTATTATTGTTATTTATTTTTTTTACATACATTTGGTGTTTAGTGCATGTGAAATTTAAAAGTAATTATTCATTCTATTGACTACGCCCACAAAAAGCATATAAACACACGTTTTCAGTTATTGGTGCCATTGTAAAAAAATCACTCCTTCATTAATTTCACAAGTGAAAGATGTCTAAATAAATGTCATGTTAAAGGGTTAGTTCCCCAAAAAATTTAAATTTACCCGCAAGTTGTTCCCAATCTGTATGAGTTTCTTTCTTCTGTTGACTACAAAAGAACATGTTTTGAAAAATGTTGATAACCAAACAGTTGACGGTAGTCATTGACGTCCATATGAATACTATGTAAGTCAATGGCCACCATCAACTGTTTGGTTACCAACAGTTGTTTAAAATATCTTCTTTAGTGTTCAACACAAAAAAAAAGAACAACAGAAGGTTTGGAACAAGTGGAGGGTGAGTACATGATGACGAATTTAAAAGTAATTATTCATTCTATTGACCACGCCCACAAAAAGCATATAAACACACGTTTTCAGTTATTGGTGCCATTGTAAAAAAATCACTCCTTCATTCATTTCACAAGTGAAAGATGTCTAAATAAATGTCATGTTAAAGGGTTAGTTCCCCAAAAAATTTAAATTTACCCGCAAGTTGTTCCCAATCTGTATGAGTTTCTTTCTTCTGTTGACTACAAAAGAACATGTTTTGAAAAATGTTGATAACCAAACAGTTGACGGTAGTCATTGACGTCCATATGAATACTATGTAAGTCAATGGCCACCATCAACTGTTTGGTTACCAACAGTTGTTTAAAATATCTTCTTTAGTGTTCAACACAAAAAAAAAGAACAACAGAAGGTTTGGAACAAGTGGAGGGTGAGTACATGATGACGGAATGTTCGCTTTTGGTTGAACTTTCTCCAAGCAAACAAAACAAAAACTTATTAGACTACTAATATGACTGCAGTCTTCATCTCCTGTGACTGTACATAATTAAAAAAAAATAAAAAATTCAGGAGTGCTGTTTATTTCATTATGTGTAAAACTGTTTTTGTTTTTTTTTATGATGACATCTGTTGAGTTTTTGAAGTTGTAAAACAGCAGGAAAAGAACTTCTCCGTAGTGTGTGCGATCTGTGGCCACAAATATACCACAGCCCCGGTTCCTGTTACTATCAGCAGAGGAAGAAGACTGTGGCACTCACACTAACACAGTATTATTAAACTGGTAGTGTATTGGGGCAAAGAGAGACACACAAGTAATTTTAGGTATTTTCTGAAGATAAAAAGTGCTCGTACACAAGACCATAGTTGATTGTTTTAAGGTTAAAGATCGTAATTACTTAATTATTCAATTATTCATTCATTTTGAACCGATGATTTTATCTATAGTGAGCTTTTGAGAAAACTGATCCCCCATCAAGGAGACAGTTTTCTATAATACTATAAAATAATTATTTCTTTATTGTTGGAAGAATTCAGTTTTCACATTGCTTTTTTGTTAGGTCCCATTCAGTCAATATTCAGCTATTAATCTTACTTTTATTCAAGGATTAAAGTTCATTGCAACTTGTGAAGTGAGTGTTCAGAAGTGCAAATGACAGCACAAATCAATATCATACAGTTATTTATAGATACAAACATTCAAATTTGAATAAGAATTGCCAGCTGTATTCAATTAGAAATAATGCAGTTTACATGTCGAGACTATGTTTGAAAATACAATAAAAGTTTGGTTTTGTCATTTTCTGTTAGGAAAGCTTCTGCGATGCCTAACAGTTGCAGCACTTAACAACTTCATGCAAACCAAAAATTGCTATTTTAAATATGTATTAATATATTTAAGTACTTACACTGAATTAAATGATTCAGAATATTCAAGAGATCTTTCAATATAGATAATTTAAAAATGGACAAATTAAGGATATAGAACTATATAGGCTAGCTATTAATTTTTAAAATAATAATTTTTTTTGTGTGCATGTTTTCTGAGGTTGTCATTGTCTTGTAGATGTAGACACTAAGCTTGTGAGTAAAATAATATATGGCTCGTTACTATTGTACTACGTGAAGTGGTCATGGATAAGCAGACATGTAAGCAGAGCATTCACCATGATAATACTATATATCACTATTTAAATAACACATTCTGTTTCAAAGTCTGCCTTAATTATGTATCTTGTAAGTTACTCAACTAATTACAATGCTCTAATCACAGCACACAGTTTTCAAACACCAGGGGGTGCAGTATGATAACTGTATCGAATAAAGCGTGTTTAATAGTGTTATCCTTTTTGGCATAATAGCTAAACTAATTGCATTCAACTTTTCAGTGGAGAACAATAGAATAAAACAATACCTTGATTAATAAAAAAAAAAACTTAATTAGGAATCATATAAACAATTAGGCTATGAAAAAAAGCATAAATACAGCTGCTATACAGTTTTAGGTTAAAAGGGTAATATGATGCTGCTAAAAAGAACATTATTTTGTGTATTTGGTGTAATGAAATGTGTTTATGCGGTTTAAAGTAAAAAAAAAACACATTATTTTCCACATACTGTACATTATTGTTTCTCCTCTATGCCCCGGTGAGGAAGCACAATGTGACAATTACAAGTTCAGCCAGGTCTTCTGGTCTGCCAGGATCTTTAAATCATCATTTATTTCATTATTTCAAGGCAATGCAGTGCAGTTTTTATGCCAGTTGGTTGGTTTGGCCTGCTGTTCTAACACCAGAAAAGACCAGTTTGAAGATAAATCAAGTTGATGTTCATTTTACCTTGATGTTCCAAATAGGACAGTATTATGCAGTTTTTACAGCCGTGCGCTGAAATGACAAGAACATCACAGAAAAACACATTCAGACCACTCATCATGAATTAAACATGCAGAATATGTCACAAACTTTTTCACTAGTGCTGATACCTTGCTTTTTAAGTTTTCATTTATCAGGCAGTTCCTTAAAATGAAACCATTTAAACATAGACATATATTTGTGCCTGCCAGAATTGCAAGCAAGACAGCTAGACTTCTCAGAATATCTTACAAAAATGAATAATTGTAGTTTCCTGGCAGTAAAACTTGTGACAATGTTAATATTAGCTAGTTGTGGAGGGTGACTCAACCAAAAAGAATTTAAAACAGAAATGCAAATAAATCGAAGGACTGCAAACAAACATGGGGCGTGGTCCGCTGTACCGGAAGTGAAGAAAGGGGCGGCGGGAAAAAGGAGAAGGTATGTTCATTAGACACGGCCATTATTGTTAATTTGTCATAAAGCAGAAGTTTTTCTGTGGCTATCATCTGAGAGGCGACAAGACATCGAGCACTCCTCATTCATGCACTTGTGGATCCCATTGCAGAGGTGAATTAATGACAGGTGACGAGGTGCAATAAACACCCGCCCTTCATCCGCGCGCGTCGTACTATAACGAAAGCGCAGCGCATGAATATTAATATGTCCATATTGCTTCCTAACATTACGCAGGTATTCACGCCACCTATTTAATAAACATAAGCTCAATCCTTTCCCGTAGTAGAATTCGTAAATTCATCAGCAGTATGGTGCCTTCTCAGCCAATCGTTTAGTGCTACTGTTCGAACGCCTCGTTATTAATTATTCTCGTTAGTAATATTCATGAGCCTCAGGATACCAGCGGTATTCCACTATATGAGGCTGATATTATCTTATATATTTATTATATTATAAACATATCGTGATAGACCAGTCTGACTCATATGCTGTAATAACTGTGTTGTTATTAGCTTATGTTAGCTTAAGTTAGCTTATTAAATGCATTAACAACCCTAAGATTGTGATTTGGTACAACCCATAACATCATAAAGTTTATGCCATATGGCAGAGATTAATATTATAAGCCTGTTTTCTACCATTGTTCTATGTATTTTAATTTCTAAGATTAAAATAAATCAATAAAATAATAAAACAAAATTTCATGTTCAAGTTGGTCAGTGTATTCAGTGTTGACCAAAGCTCAGCTGTTTGGTTTAAAAGTGACTTGTGTTTGAGCTGTACTTCATTAATCGCTACACTACTATCAATAGGTAATTGTGGTAATTGCGTCTTTTTATCTCGCAATTCTGAGTGTACATCTCACAATTCAGACTTTGTTTCTTGCAATTCGGAGGAAAAAGTTAGAACTGTGAGATATAAACTCAGAATTGTGAAATATTAACTTGCAATTCTAAGAAAAAAAAGTCAGAATTGCAAGATATAAACTACGAATTCTGGTTAAAAAAGTCAGAATTGCTAGATATTAACTCGAAATTACATAATATAAATTCAGAACTGCAAGATATAAACTCAGAATTGTGTGATATAAATTTACAATTGTAAGATGTAAACTCAGAATTCTGAGAAAAAAGTCAGAATTGCGAGATATGAACTCAGAATTGCATGATAAATTCAAAATTGCAAGATGTAAACTTGGAATTCTAAGAAGAAATGTCAGAATTGTGAGTAATAAACTTGCAATTTCAAGGGGGAAAAAAAAGTCAAA